ATATCCTATTTCAGCAGTAAAAACACACTTCAAAAATACAAATTGTACCTTTTTATGTTCCAAATTTTGTGTAGTTTATTTTGTTATATATTTTAATATATTCAGTATTTATTTTCATTTTGTGTTGCTCAATGTAGTTATAATTGATTGTGGTGATTCTGTGATTAATGCATGGCTGTATGCACATTGTAGGTGTACAAGAAACAATCCACAGATTATACCCAGCATGCCAAGTTTGGAGCAATAGAGAGGCATGACAAATGAAGAATAGCATCAACCTGATAAATCATTATTTTACTAAATGAAGGGTTGCATTCATACTTGGTCACAGTGAATTTAGGTATTCTGCAGAATTTGTTGAGAAGATAGATATTCAGTAGGGATTATAATATTTTGTTATAACTGCAGTGTTTGTGTATGTTATAACATATAATGTGTTCAAGATGAACCTCCTGTTGCAAGTCAGCATTTACAGGTGGTCGTACATTACACAGTTATGGCAATTTTCCGCTGATCCACGGATTTCCACCGATTTAGTTTCAAGTTGATCAGTTCTGTGAATCGTCTAAATTCCTGAAACCTCATTGGATAACACAATATTAAGTTTTCAGATGAATATAGCTTTTCCTGTTGCCATCCGTGATTACCAGATGGCAATATGTGGATAGAGAGAGTGAAGTCCTGCTTGCCACAGTATGACAGGTTGGAAGCTATTTGGAACAATAACGAAGCATACAACTTTATAGATGACAACTTCTTGTTATTTGCATAGAGCGACGGTGTAAAGAATCTACACTGTTATCAAGCTAAAACGGTGTAAGAATGTACACGGAAGCATCGCTCTGCAATAAGCAAGAAGTTGTCATCCATAGAGTTGTATGCTTCATTATTGACCCACCAACTTCTAGAATGCCGATCTAACAACTATCTTGATAAATGTTGTAGATTTGTCATTACTTGTCCAGGCTAGCTATTCTCGAAACGTTCATATCCCTACGAACTTCTTAAGCCCATTCTTAACACATTGGCTACGATCAAAGTTAAGAATTCTTAGAGCTACGAACGTTTCGAGAATAAGGGCCCAGGGCACCTGTCAAGTAGTATATCTGAAGTAAGGCCCCCTGCTTACACAACTTTCAGGCTATATCGCCAGAGAAAGTCTCCCTGTGTGTGGGCCCTCATGACGATTATTACTTACCTCGTGTCGCCGATGAGTAATGACATTTTTAGCAGCTGAAAGTTATGCAATGACTTTGTCAAACAAGATGTTGTTTATTTTCTGTGGTTTAGTTTGTTGTTTATCTGAGAGGTGTGCGTACTGTATGAAGAGGCAATAAAATCTGGTCATAAATGATGGTGTTAGTTTTCTGTACATGGAGAAGAGGAGATGGAATGAAAAGGAGGAATTTACGAATAGATCATCGGCTTGAGTTTTACAGCAGTGTATCGGTACATAAACACAGTTGTTTATTTTTTTGTAGTTTAACGCTGCACTCAGCAAAATTCCAACTATATGGCGAGTCTGTAAGTAATCAAGTCTGGACCAGACAATCCAGTGATCAACATCATGAGCATCGATCCACCCAGCTGGGATACAATGACATGTGTCAACCCAGTCAGCGAACCTGACCACCCGATCACATTAGTCACCTCTTACAACAAGCATGGGTTGCTGAAGACCAATTCTTAACCAGATCATTACACATATTAGACTTCAGACTTGAGCATGCTGCAAGCATGGAAATGTGTAAATATGCACTATCATTATTAAGACACAGGCAGTTGTCTCAGGCACCACAATCCAATGTGCAAAGATTTGTCATATGTGTGACAGAAATCAATGGCTGCATAGGTTTTGACTTTGTGTGCTGTTGATTTAGTGCCTGGCTCTGAGAGCGTGGGTTCAAATCCCTGATGGAACTCAACAACAAAAAGTTTTAGAATCTGTACTTTACTGAGGAAGTGTAATTCCATATATAACATATGTTACACTTGACCGATTTATGTTAGGCAGTGTGTGTTTGTGCAGATTTTGCCATGTGGGTGTGCCAAGAATTGATCATGGGATATAATCCCAAGTTTGCACTGATATGTTTCACCATGCCCAGTTGAGGGTTTTACAAAATGGTAAATGTCTGTAACAGTGTTAAACTCAACACACCCACTCAATACAGCACCATACAACATAGCTACCATTTGCATCATTCTAAGGTTTGGTAAACTCATCTGATGACGAACATCATGGAGTTGCAGCATGTTCAAACTCCCATCAAAAATGTCCAGAAACAATTTGTATTTTTCTTCATGGAAATTAGTGCTGCACTACAAGAGAGCATCCGATTTTAATATACCCAATAATAAAAAGTTAAATAATTTTGAAGCGATGCTTGAATGAAAGTGTTATTTTATCAGAAATTATATATCCCATATTGATTTTTTTAATTTTAATAAAAATATTCAATAAAATAATAGTTTGGAATAAGCGATTGCTACTGCAATACTTTTTACATACAGTTTGATTATTAACCACCGATGCCTTATACATTCCTAGTACAACAAATTAATAAAAACAAAATGCAAATATCATAAATTACACCCCAAAAGAGTAAGTATAATATCAGGCAGTCACCTTGTTCGAGGAATATTTCCACACATAAGAACAATACCCCATACTTTTCAAGCTGTACAAAGAAATTTGTTCGATGTGACATGTCTTTGTAATGATAAAATATTTACACATATTGAAAGCGTTTGGGGATATTAAAACCCCTATTTGTATCTCAACTGACTGATTCTTTCAGCTGTTCCACAGCTTGTGCCATGTTTCATTGGGCACCTTAGATAGTACACATGACATCTTTGTTCATGATATCCATGGTTCTTTGAAGAAGTCAATTAACAACAATGAACAATCAATCAATATACCATCAGCTAATCATTTGAACAAACCATGCCGCTTTTACATAGGAACCTAGATGCATGGTTCCTTTTACATAGGAACCATGCTGCTTTCACATAGGAACCATGCTGCTTTTACATAGGAACCATGCTGCTTTTACATAGGAACCATGCTGCTTTTACATAGGAACCTAGATGCATGGTTCCTTTTACATAGGAACCATGCTGCTTTTACACAGGAACCAGCACCTTGAGCATGCACTAGTGCGTGGATATGTGCGCTATAAAAATATCCAATAATAAATAATATAAATAAAGTGGGTGTAATCCTGTCTGCTTTAGTAAACCTACATGCTTGACAATTCCATGGTGCAAGACAACAATGATTAATCAGTCAACATATTAACGGTCAATCCTTTGATGGAAGATTTTAGCAACACTACTGGCCATTCCTCTCTTACTGCACTGCCACGTTCATATTATAGAACATTAATACATTCACAACATCAAACCTTTTTAGAATCCAGTCTTAGATTGAATAATTGCACCAGACATGAGAATTCCTGAATGCGAACCATGATAACTCATATATATCCTTGACACCCTCAGAGGCAGTGGTGAACTTATTGACTTATTGTGCATAGTGCAGGTAAGCCATGCCCTGTCACCACTAATTGATACTTGCAATAAAGTCACTCATGGAGCGTCAAGTGAAAGATGACAAATACACATGTGAATGACTTAAACCAACAATCATGGAATACAAGAAGAGATTTGTCACTGCCCATGTTGGTGTGTTTCTCGTCGAACATGCCGATCAAGCAGACAAAATGGCATTTAAACTCACAGAAGTTAACTAAACATACCATTATCTAAAATTGAAATCAAAAGCCTATCAGAACAAAAAGTCTTCCAAAAGTAAAATAAGTACCAAAATTCAAATTCTACACTAAAACATCTACTCAAAAAAACACTAGAAATCCACCATAAAACTAAAGATATTGACAGTGTGATAGTTACATTACAAACAAGTCACTCAAAATTAAATTCCCATCTACATAAAATACATAAACACTGCAAGGGGAAATCAACTGCAACAAAACCATCCCAATCTGTGTACCTATCAGCATCTATCACTAGGTCAACCGGGTTTTTTAAAAATACATCATGAGTAGACACTTTTATGAAACCTGTGATCAGTTCTACCCAAGCCAAATAATGCCCAAACACGTCCTACTACATTGCATACACTACCAACAACACAGAATGGTGCTTCAGAGTTCACTCAACACTTATGACCGCCTAAATTACAAACACTTCTAAGCTCACTCAATAAAATCCAAACCTTCAAAGCCTTAGGTATATTTCTAATCACAACTGGCCTTCTATAGGTCGCATATAATCCCACATGTATAACCGAGCAGTAAAAATATATTTAAAAAAAACAAAAAAAACAACAACAAATGCCAACCACACTACCCCATGGTTCAGCTCCCCCTTCAACTTCTGGCAAATTTCCAGTTCAAAATTCATACAAAAATAATTATGCAAGTTGCCATATCTTTCGTTCAAACACTAAATGGCCTGGCAGTCCTGTGTGCAAACCACATATTATGCCAGAAAACTTCCAAGCCATCATCATCATCATCATCAAGAGTGTAATACTCAAGTTGAAATTTTTTTAATAAAATTTGAAACTAAAACAAACACGCAATACATCCAACCATAATCTCGCATCACAGACCAACACAAAGTACCATTATATGAATCTGTACAGTGATAAACATTATTATGAAATGTATGAACCTTTAAGTAACAAACAAAGCAGGAGTGGTTAGTTTTAGTTTTGCATGTTACTGGGCTGTTACTGTTGTTTGCTGTTGTATACATTGAGTGGACTTCATTGTCGCAAAAATAATTTTAAATGCATTGTCAACTTGCAGATATAAAAATTTGTTATGGAAATGTACAGAAGAACAACTTTTGCGTACACTGGAAATAGTATGGACAACGCTGGGATTGAACCTTAAACTCTGGTGCTAAATGATTGAAAGAAAATAATATATAGCACCGCAGGAGTTGCTTCCCCTTCTTCGCAATCAACTGACAACTTTCAATAGCCGATGAAATAAAAACTGGCAGATATTCTTCTACATCAATATCTGCCACGTGAAGTATCATCAGTATTGGAGATCAAAATGACACATTCCCGGCATGACATAGAGGCGGATGTTCAAGAATTTAGTAAGTACCTTGCAACGCCTCGTCTGGCAGCTGTGATTTAGCCCGACAGGCGACACTGACAGAACGGTGTGCATTGGGTGTAGACAATCATGTATCATCTTCATAATATTTACGTGTAGATGAACCATGTCAGTATGGTAAAACATTCAAATATTTCTGTGTAAAATTCGAATAAATTATCTTTGACTCTGATGACTGAACTGTCAAAATGCTCGCCTCAAAATCAAACCCTCAGTTTTGAGGGTGTCTCGTCGATTCTTGTGTGCGGACAAAAAAACCTGTTGACAAAAGCCCTCCTAGGGCAAAAAACCCGTTGGATAAAAACCCCTTAGGACAAAAACCCATAAGGACCAAAGCCCCAAATGAGGATCTTTGGAATGAACCCCCAAACACTTTTTAACTACTGAGTGATTGACTTAAGTGACATGCTTTGATTGAATCAGTAATAGAGATTATCAGTGACAGGCTTCATTAATTATTATTCTAAGATGCCTAAAATACATTATCAGACAATAAAGGTATGGTTTTTTGATGACGTAACAACTGAATGACGTTATACTGTCACTGCGCCATTCTAGTCTGCCCCCTCTTACTCGAACCATTTTACATTACATCACAATGTAAGCGACGTCACGATGCATGTCAGTTGTCATCGCCTCGTACAGCCTCCTACAGTAAACTACTCCGTTGCATCACGTTTCTTGGTTTGCAGTTGCTCCACGCAGCTAACAACACTGGTGGAAACATTACGTTTATGTTTTACGACGGTTAAAATGTGTCAATTCGACTCACAAGTTTTCAGCGACACGATAACGTTCGCAATGTTTACATTCCCACAATGCAATGGTGGAATGTGGCTTGACTACTCAGCTTCATCTGGATGTACTGATCTAAACTTACGTTGGTAGTGAAATGCGACGTTCATATTGCCCCATATGGTTTACGTTAATGACAGATGTAATTAATATAATTCAGAGAAGATATTTAATCCGAACATAAACCGTCATCAAACTGTTATCATTTGTATTTTTCTGGTAACGTTCATCTTAACGTAGGGGGGGGCAGACACATCAATAGAACAACATGCCAGTTAGCCCTCTGCGAGCATTCTTAATTTAGGTCACCGACACCGTCGTTTGTTTTCTGCCTTAAATTAATCGTAATCATCCTTAGAAAGAAATACAGTTCGCTTTACCACCATGTATAGTGTAATACAGCACACTTTTGCCCTGAACTATTATTGTTTAAGTACGAGGACGCTTGGAATAAGTTCTTAAGTAACTTAGTATTTCGTTTGTAAACATTATTAAGGGTGAAGCTTTATTATTGATGAGGATAAACTGACTTCAAGAGTATTAAAAGTTTAATTACTCAACTTAGTATTTAGATATGTATCAGCAAAGTCATGCTCAAATTGTACCCAATTGATGCTGGTGCCCATTGGTGCTAAATATAACATTTGAATAATAAACAATCTTCATTATTCACTTGTAGCTTTGGGTTTTTTTGTCCTTGGGGGCTTTTGTCAACAGGGTTTTTTGTCCACAGGCTTTTTTGTCCTACAATCCCGATTCTGATGGCAGTTTGGCTTGTCAGAGAACAATTGGCCTGTATTTTATAATCATGCATGTTAATGTTAATGCAAGTTTGACTAAGAGTTTTTTTGTCAGTCTACTGCAGTGACTCAACATTCAGTCATTATCTCCAACACATGAAGATCCGGGTTAGATTTGGTCTTCAGTAACCCATACTTGTCGTAAGAGGCACTAACGGGATCAGGTGGTCAGGCTCACTGACTTGGTTGACACGTGTCATCATATTCCAGTTGAGTAGATCGATGCTCATGCTGTTGATCACTGGATTGTCTGGACCAGACTCAATTATTTGCACACAGCTGTAGTATTGCTGACTGGGTCATTAAACAACAAACAAAATTTATCCAATAGTCAAACAATTTGGGGTATCACAGCACTTACAATGTAAGTTATTTCCATTCTCAAATTGTATGCATATATAGGTCCCAACATTTTGCATCCTGTCATTGAAAACCAAGGTGAGCCTGATTTTGTTCTTGCAACAGTAACAACATACAACCACCCCCTCCATGAAGCTGCACGTCAGGGCAAAGCTGATGTAGTGCGGCATCTCATCGAGGAGAAGGACTTCTTCGTGAATCATCAAACCTTTGATCTGGTCACCCCTCTCCATCACGCATGCTTACATGGGAGACAGAAAGTCATCAAGTTTCTCCTGGAAAAAGGGGCTATGGTCAGTTTGCATGGTCATTTGGAAATAATTAATCATTAGATTTCCATCCAAACTTTTGAAGAAGATAAAGGTATTATACTTTTCATATTTTATTTTGTTTAAAGAAACTTTGCAAAGCATCTGTGTCCATATTCAAGGATTTGAGCGAGTGAGTGAGTTGAGTTTTACGTCACTTTTGGCAATTTTCCAGCGTATCATGGCGGGGGACACCAGAAATGGGCTTCACATATTGTACCCATGTTGGGAATCAAACCCGGATCTTCAAATGCTTTAACCACTAGGCTACCCACCACCCCAGAAGAATTTGATAAAAATGAAGCAAGAATGTTGGTTGGACTATCAGTGGCGGATCCAGGGGTTCCACACGCACGCACGCACGCACTTTGAAAATTACTAAAGATCACATTGAAGTTAATGTTTTGCAATGGCAGAGCCAAGGTGGGGTTCAGGGGGTTTGAAACACAAACACCCACCCCCCTTTGAAAATTTCTGGATCCGCCTATGACTATAGTAAACTATGGTTAAAACAAACTCAAAATGACCTCTTACTTTTGTTCATTATAACTTTAGTTTGTTACACGCACTTTGACTAAAAGATACAGCAAGTGTCCAGAAAAAACATCAACAGTTTGTTATATCCATAAGTTTGTTTTAGCATGTTCAAAGTGCTATTGTTCTATTATAAATATTTTTGGTAAAAACTGAAATGTAATGATATAACCAGTGGATCGGTAATTTTGTTTTAGTTTTTATCTTTAAGCATTGATGCTGACCATCAAGATGCTGTTTGTATTACCACTGGTTATTAGAATACCGGGTACTTAGCTTTAATAGGTCATAACATTCCTGTAAGTCAGTTTCTTCAGTTCATTCAACACTCTCTCTGATTTAGGTAAATGCCCGTAATATAGATGGCGCCACCCCACTCTGTGATGCTTGTTGTTATGGTGACATAGAGGTTGTGCATCTGCTGTTGTCACATGGTGCTGATGTCAATCCGCTGTTACTGCTGTCGTCACCGCTTCATGAAGCTGTACTTAGAGGTAGGTTGGTGACAATCTGACCTACACATGGTATCTTATGACAACTTCATTGATAATTTCAGCTTAATAATCAGAGTTCATGTCTGGCTCAAATCTTGATATATTTTATCAGAAATTATTCTGTTAATTAAGTATGAATTGTAATGTGGTAAACATTTTCCTGTGTTTTTATTCACGTTTTTTCAAAGGATGATTAGTCAAAACATGAACTGTTAGAGAACTTAAGACAACTCCCCTTGATTTTACTAGGGCTTCATTAAATGCAAAAAACTATAGTGATTGTAATCAACATATATATCTTGGCATAAGTTGTCTCCCTTACATCAGTCATCACTCACTACTGATGATTACAAACATATGCACTTGACACTAAGCTATGTCAGCTTCATACCCATGCTTGTCAGAGTTCACACATCTAAAACCTCCATCACTTCAGGTTGTATTCTCATATTATGACTAAAATACTGCTGTTACAGACACAACAAAATTCTTCCTGAATATGGAAATTATTTTGTCTCTGGATCCCAATTCTGTTTTCCTTGGTTAAATCGATAGTTGATTAGTTGTACAGTGAAAACAAAGTATGATTTTATTGATCTCCTAACTCAATTACATGAACAAGGACAATGTGTGACAGTTGGACTTGCTCTACACATTTCCACTGAGTGAGTCAGTCAGTGTAGTTTTAACCCATGAAGATCCGGGTTAAGATCCCAGCAACCCATATTCTTGTCTTAAGAAGCAACTAATGGGATTGGGTGGTCAGGCTGGCTGACTTGGTTGAAGGATGTCATTGATCTCCATTGCGCATATCGGTGCTTATGCTGTTGATCACTGGATCGTCTGGTCCAGACTCGATTATTTACAGACTACCGCTATAAAGCTGGAATATATTGCTGATTGCGGAGTTAAACAACAAACTAACCAGCGTAGTTTTATGCTGCTTTTTAGCAATATTCCAGTAATATCACAGGAACGGACACTAGAAATTAGCTTCTCACATTTTACCCATGTTTGGAATTGAACCTGGAATTTCTCTGTCACGTGTGAAAGGTTGAACCACTAAGCTACTCCACTGTCCACATTTGCATTGAATTTGTGTGTAATTTTTTAGTTGAAAAATTTAGAAGAAAAAAAATGTTTTGTTTTTTTCTGGTTAAATTTCTTGTTTTTCAAGATATGAATAATTTTCTTCTGCTTCAACTAACCAGACAATTCGCAGTGTGCCAGCATTCTACTGGATGCCGGGGCTAACCTGATGGCGACAGACAGTCATTACGGCACCCCGCTGCATGTTGCTGCATACAAGGGCAGCCAGGCTTGTGCGGAGGTGCTGCTTCGAGCAGGTCAGAGACAGACCTACCCACGTCAGTAACACCCTTGTGTATGTTTGGATAGAATGACAATAATTGCCTTGTACACAGTTGTACAAATATTAATTATTAAGTCATGTACACATGATACAAAATACATAATATTATTAGCTTGTTCAAAATATCATCAGCCTTGTACACATTTGTACAAAAAAGTATCTGAGCATTGTACATGTAGAAACAACATAGTAACAGCCTTGTACTCATTTGTACAATATAACAGAAGCCGTCTTAACAGTTGTACAGAAATAATAAAAGCGTGACTTAATAACAAGGACAAAGTTGAAGAGTGTTTTGTGAGCAACACTGTTACTATGGTTACATAGTTATATTGTGTCCAACCTGACACAAGGGCCACATGGTTTTAATAACTCTCTTCTCAGCACTACAGGTATCATACTTCTTCTCAAGTACAGCAAAATTTGCACACCCAAGTTGCATATGTTCCACACTTAAGCAGAAAAGAGGCCATCTGCCCAATAAATTTCTCCCGAACAATATAACAGGTTGAAAAGTTTAAATGTCCAGATTAACACAATGGAAAAGTTATCTCCCTTTGTCCATCAATCTGTTCAAGTTGGGGCATCCTGCTCAGTCATACAACGTTGTCTTGTTCCTTGTGATATTTTCTTAATTCTGCCTTGGTGGGAAGGATTCTGTTTCTGTGTTCAGTTTATTTCGTAGGTTACAAATCTATATCTAATCTAAAGTTCTGAAGTTCAACAGTTTGGCTGATCCACATCATGACTCAGTTTCCCCCAAATACAAAGCAAGAACTGGAATTCAGTGCAAGAATAATATCTTAGTTGGAAAGTCATTTCTAACAATGGTTAAATTTCTTTTTAATAAATGGGTGTGGGATATTTATTTAGAAGCAAAAACATTTATAAAATTTACAGCTTTGTCAGAACCTTTCTCTGCACCAAACACAGGCTACATGCCACTAAGTATGAAATGTCAACATCAGAATAATAACACGTGATCTACCAAAACATCTCCCATAGTGGGTAGAAAGCAATAAACTGATGAATACTCTCTGTATGGAATAAAAAACATCTCCCATAGTGGGTAGAAAGCAATAAACTGATGAATACTCTCTGTATGGAATAAAAAACATCTCCCATAGTGGGTAGAAAGCAATAAACTGATGAATACTCTCTGTATGGAATAAAAAACATCTCCCATAGTGGGTAGAAAGCAATAAACTGATGAAGACTCTCTGTATGGAATAAAAAACATCTCCCATAGTGGGTAGAAAGCAATAAACTGATGAAGACTCTCTGTGTGGAATAAAAAACATCTCCCATAGTGGGTAGAAAGCAATAAACTGATGAAGACTCTCTGTATGGAATAAAAAACATCTCCCATAGTGGGTAGAAAGCAATAAACTCATGAAGACTCTCTGTGTGGAATAAAAAACATCTCCCATAGTGGGTAGAAAACAATAAACTGATGAAGACTCTCTGTATGGAATAAAAAACATCTCCCATAGTGGGTAGAAAGCAATAAACTGATGAATACTCTCTCTGTATGGAATGGGTAGAAAAAAAACATCTCCCATAGTGGGTAGAAAGCAATAAACTGATGAATACTCTCTGTATGGAATAAAAACATCTCCCATAGTGGGTAGAAAGCAATAAACTGATGAAGACTCTCTGTATGGAATAAAAAACATCTCCCATAGTGGGTAGAAAGCAATAAACTGATGAATACTCTCTGTATGGAATAAAAAACATCTCCCATAGTGGGTAGAAAGCAATAAACTGATGAAGACTCTCTGTATGGAATAAAAAACATTTCCCATAGTGGGTAGAAAGCAATAAACTGATGAAGACTCTCTGTATGGAATAAAAAACATCTCCCATAGTGGGTAGAAAGCAATAAACTGATGAAGACTCTCTGTATGGAATAAAAAACATCTCCCATAGTGGGTAGAAAGCAATAAACTGATGAAGACTCTCTGTATGGAATAAAAAACATCTCCCATAGTGGGTAGAAAGCAATAAACTGATGAAGACTCTCTGTATGGAATAAAAAACATCAGTATGACACCAGGTGTCTTGGTGGGTAGAGAAAATTTACTTCTGAATAATGACTTGACTTGTTGTAGAATAGTGACTTGACTTGTTATAGAATAGTGACTTGACTGGTATATAATAATGACTTGACTTGTTGTAGAATAGTCACACACTTGACTGTTATAGAAAAATGACTTGACTTGTTATAGAATAATGACTTGACTGTTATAGAATAGTGACTGTTATAGAATAATGACTTGACTTGTTATTGAATAATGACTTGACTGTTATGGAATAATGACTTGACTGTTATAGAATAGTGACTTGACTTGTTATAGAATAAGGATTTGACTTGTTATAGAATAATGACTTGACTGTTATAGAATAGTGACTTGACTGTTATAGAATAGTGACTTGACTTGACTTGACTTGTTTTAGAATAATGACTTGACTTGTTATAGAATAATGACTTGACTGTTATAGACTTGTTATAGAATAATGACTTGACTGTTATAGAATAGTGACTTGACTTGTTATAGAATAATGACTTGACTTGTTATAGAATAATGACTTGACTGTTATAGAATAGTGACTTGACTGTTATAGAATAGTGACTTGACTTGTTATAGAATAATGACTTGACTGTTATAGAATAGTGACTTGACTGTTATAGAATAATGACTTGACTTGTTATAGAATAATGACTCCTCTCCTTTTTAAGCAAACCGATTTCCATCCACTTATAGTAGTCTGTAACATGAGTAAATATCTCTACAGGTGCCGACGTTAATACTCGTCAGATCCACAAGATGCCTATCCATGACGTAGCTCGACTCCAGGACTGTGAGTTCCTGTCTCTCCTCCTGGAGCATGGTGCCAACGTGTATGCCCGAGACAACCGTGGACGGACCCCACGAGACCTGGTCCCTAGTAGTACCCACCCGGCTAAACAACTTCTGCTGCACTGGGAGAGTAAGACACGATCACATTCATTAATCTTCGCACTGAGCATTTCTTACCTTCATCATACCAGAGTTGAGGTTACTATTTTGGAAAGATCATAACAAACACAGAAAAATTAGTGCTACTACTATTAAATGCAAGTGGTCAAAATAAGATTTTAACGTTTAACTAAATTCCAAAGTTGATTTCAACCTGTCCATGAAGTGAAAAAATAATCAGGAAGATTCTCCGACTTTGTGTAGATATATATATATACACAGGTACAATGTTTTAGTATTGAATAATACACTTTTGACATTTTACTTTTTCCATTCAACTTTTTAAACGTTTTAAGTTTGTTTTTCAATAACAAAATTTAACTGTGTGGATATATGTTATCTTTTGTATTCTGGAGTGGTATTAATGTAGGTATTACTTGTGAAATACATATGTAACAATCCAGTTTGACAGAAGGTATAGATATAATTTAGAGACACAATTATACTCAACAATGAGGTACATATTTCCTTTCAACTACTTAAACGCCTTTCAAAGGATTATCACCTCCTCACCATATGTGTACATCCTTCCCCCTCCCCATGTGCAGCTCACACCTTAAGCTTTTGATCTTTGTACATGCTGATTGCAATTTCCCAGTGTTACACCTGCCAGGTGTGCTGTACAGGTAGATGACATGTGCACCCCATTCCCTCCCCCCTGTGCAGTTTACACCTGAAACTTGTGATCTCCACAGGTGCTGATTGCAATGTTCTCCTTGTTACACCTGTCAGATGTATTTTACAGGTAGATATTCACCTGGACAGATTTAACAGGGGTACAGCAAACCACAGAATTAATTATTTAAAAATTGATCAAATGTCATGATAGCCTCCAGGTATTTTGTTTGTATGGAAATGCGTCCTCACAAAATGTGCATGTATGTGAACAGTTAGATCTGTATAAAACTTGTATATTGGGCAGTTCTGGAGATCCTTTTTCAGCTTAGTAATTAATTGCTAAGTGACAGCGATTGGTAAGTTGTAAAAACTTACAACCAGCCCCCAAATATCCAATCCAATCCAGGTACCTGCAAAGGCTGGCTAAAAAGATTGATAATCAGAAATATTGTCAATGGGGAAAGTTGTTAATGATTATCAAGATGATGTTCACAACAGTGTCTTGTTGGCATTTTTGCTCAAAGTTACTTCTCAGATATTTATCGATAACTGATTATTGATCTCTGTGATCTATATCAATATCCAGACCTAGTATCTGCTGCCTCAAGATCTGGGTACAAAATGTCTAATTAGGAATTGGCAGGAACTGTTAGTTACAATTATGACTCTATCAAGAATATTATGGATATGAGTCAACTGACTCCTTTTCTCAGATTTCCTCCCACAACGCTATTCAAAGCTGGTGATGGAAACTGGAAAATATTAATGGAACACTTGAAGTTTCCTGTGTTCCTTTAGTTGTTTTTCTCAGTATATAAAAATTCACCATTACCTATATCAATGTGTATTTGAGATTAGACTCATGTCTTGAAGAACTATACTTGAATGTCATCTCGTCAGAACCTGTTCCTTTCATGTCATTTACATTCTCATCGTTGATCCGCTTGCTCTAATCTGCTGATTAATCCCTCTAACACTGTTCCACATCCATAATTTTGTTGCTTGGTCTTAATCTCAGCATCAGACAATTTCCCCTGCAACATGTCAAACTGTCCCAGTACAGACTGATGACAGTTACTTGTGGCACCTCAAACTGTTCCGGTCCCACCTAATGACAATTAGCTTGTAGTGACTCAAACTGTTCCAACTCTAGACAATACCTAGCTTACGACACCTCAGAATGATGGTCTCCTGGCCCCACATTAACAGACCTCAAACTGCCACTGGACCATCACGGGACGACTAGTCTGTTACACCTCAAACATCCTCACACCTGCAGACAACACCTCCACTGACCCTACACAATCAGACAGCAAGTAGCCTGTGACACATCAAAATGATGGCGTCAGTAGGATAAAGAAGTGCAGGATGAGAATCAGGTTCGGGGGATCCCTCGGTGCCCACGTCTGTAGCATGTTACACGGGGGGTTAAATTTGTGACCTTGTCTTTTGTTGTACAATTCTCCTATTCAGTCTGGTTAAATCCATGTGAAGATAATAGTCGTGGTTTTGACTGGTTTTCAGGCATTGACCTCCAGTTAAACAACTTTATGAGAAAATAAAAACTTAACCAATTTGCACAAGAAAAACTGCTGCTCACAGGCACGTTATTCGAAAGTAATCGATGGTTGTAGTAAATGTTCTTTAAATGGCTAGTAGGGTTGATACGGCACGCTGTTACCACGGTACAGTACATATTGCGGTACAAGGCTTTCGGTTCGGCCCGTTTCAGTTCAGTGTATGAGATATGATCAGAATGCAGAAAATTGACAACAAGAGCCAAACCTTACATTGTTTGATAACATCGGAAACAATAACCATAATCTTTGTTATTTTGATTGAACAAAACCGTCATTTTATGACTTGATAGAAATGGCGGTACGCAAATCGAAAATACCAGAAAAAAATCATTTCATTGCATTAAGGTATACTGAACTGAAGGCAAAATACTGTGGTTCTACTAATACCGCAGTATACTGTTTCACCCCTAATGACTGGTCCAATTTATTGGTCAAAAACTGTGTTCCCAATTCACTCTCATATGATGTGGAAAGATTAAAAATATACCACTCAGTATTTGCTAAGGACCACACCTTTAACTTTTTTGCTTCTTGGCAAATGTTGAGCAGTATATTGTTAACTCTAATTGTAATGCTGAAGAGTCTTCTATTCTCAACTGTTGTTTTGTTTTTATTTACTTTATATGTAATGAAAATCAACTGATCACACATAGACATATTTTATACAGCCTCAAGGGCATGGCATAATCTGTTTTCAAATACACGCCTCATTCTCTGCCCAACACAGCACCCCGAACTATATCCTGTTTGTTTACTGTTGTCCTCGTAACAAACATAATGTAGAAATCGATATATCCCAGATTCCTCCAGGCCATAGTGTCATTCTTTTCTTACACAACATCCTGAAGAACACTGTAAAGAAATACTGTTATGCCTTGAAGAGCTAACACAAAAAGTGTAAACATTTCCTGTTTGGGGTCATTTGCACAGTATACACCTACATAAACAAATGACAATGCATATTGTATTTTATTTACCCTCCCCAGGACGACCAAGGCATGGAAGTAGTGGTCAGGTGAATAATCTCCAGACCAAACACTACACCATGACCTACAGTGATGCCCCAGGGATGAGCTCTAATGTCTGTCTTCTGTTCCTTACTCTGTTATCTAGCTTACCATGGTGTCAGTTTAACACTGGCATATCAGTAACACCTATACTTTGAGGTGGCATGTTGAACAGGGGCCATCATTTGATCTGTGTTACCTAGGAATCAGGAAGAAGAAATTAGGAGGCATTGATGTAAAATTATACAATTAACTGGAATTAAAAAGACATGAGAGGGTATTGTGAAATGTTATGTGTAAATAACTGTGACAAAATTCAGGATTTGCTGGTGTTTTTCTACTCCAGAGAAGTTCAAGAACACTCAATACTCTCATATCAGTATTGACAGATTAACTACAATCAGTACAATATAATATAAAGAATCAGGTGTTTAACTTCATATACATCTCAGAGGTACAGATAAGCTGCGTATCTGCGTAAATTATGCAAATATTTATGTGAATACTCAATTCCTATCAAGTCTATTGCATACAAGTACACGTGAAGTTTTTTTAAAATACTCAATAAATGTGATCATACATGTGTACACACAAACATGTCAAATCTTAGCTATCATACCAATTGATAGATAAAATAACCAAGATATATTGAGTGGTTCTATTTCAGCACATGAACTTGCAGTCTTTCTTATTGTTTCTCTTATTACAGATCAACTATATACATGTATATATAACAAACACGTAAACCAACATTTAAATTTAAATATATTCTTACAATTAATGGGAAATGGCAAAATACCCAATTAAGTTTGAGTGAGGTGGGTACAATTTATTTGGTTACTCAAAAGAAAATTAGGATACCCAACTGAGATGAACACAAGTGAGTACATAACTTAATGACCCGAAAAGTTATCTGTAGCTCTGATATATTATTGTATTTGGTTCTGTGTACTGTTTTTATTATACTTCCAAATGTTCTATTAATTGTGGCATTACCACTGTTTGTTTCTTTAATATTTAATATTGGTATTAATAGAGTCATTAATGAATTGAAAAGAATGAATTTGACTGTAATATCACTGATATCTTTAGGAAAATATTGCAAGATAATTATATTATTCTTTCTTGCATTTCAAAAAAGTAGAATACAAATACTTAAAAGTGTGCTATTGCCTCATGATTTGTCTAATTTCAACACTGATTTTTCCAATAAGATATTATAGTATGTTTTGAGTTTGACATATTAGATTCAGTGTGAACAGAAATATAATGAATATAAACTTCTTAATACATGTTAAGTCGGAAAACGAATTATGTCAATTTACACTATAGAAAATTTCATAAGTGATTTTATTGTTATCTATAAGTTAACAAACAACTGCTCTGTCCCACAACCTCAATGTATGCAGATCGTTATCCCAGACTCAGCCAAGTTCGGACTATGACATCATAGTAGGGAGACATCTGACATTTCCCCTTCTTTACAGTCCTCTACAGTGATTCTTCCATCATTATGGATGTGTAAGAGAAGGATCTATAAGCTCTATAATGAATTTACTTCTCATTACAATATTCACATATAAATGGTTAATACCCATAACCACATACATTACATACCATACACCTTTTCAAAATAAAGTCAGCATAACTGATATAAATAGAGATGTAATAGACATCAATAATAAATATATATTGTTCAAGCTTTTGTCTAGGGAACTACTTTTTATAGATAAATTTTGTGTGGGTGTGTAAGATATCATTTCAGA